TCACCATGCACCAGCATGCCTTCCCCCGTTCGATCTCTTCTGTTTGTGAAGTGAAGCTCACCGCTCGGCGTCGTCTGTCTGCCCGTTGGCCAAGTCCTCGGGACCCGACCGCCCAACTCCTGCGTGGTACGTACGTATGTCCCCCCCCCAAGGCCCACGCACGATCAGCGCCGGCCCAAGGCGGTGGAGTTGATGGCGGCTCAGGCTCGCAGCTCTCATTTGCGTACGAGCTAGGCCGGGGCGGGCGTACCGGTGGCTTTGTGCCAGGCGTAGGGGTGGACGTGGCAGCCCAGGGTGCCCGTCAGCAGCACAGCGATGACCGCGCCCAAGAGCGGACCCACGACATAGATCCACACCTGGTCCAGGGCCTCGCCGCCGGCCAGCAGCGCCGGCGCCAGCGACCGAAACGGGTTCATCGACGCTCCGCCCAGCGGCCTGCCCGTCATCATCATCATCATCATCAACGTCAACGTCAACATCACCATCATCATCGCCAACAACACGACATGACACGCACACGCACACGCACATACCCGCCGATGACGGTCAGGGCGATGAGAACCGTGCCGACGGCGAGGGCGGCGTTGGCGCCCACCACCTTGGCCCGCTCGGCGACGTTGAGGGTGACCACCAGGAGGATGGCCGAGAACAGGACCTCCATCCCGAAGGCCGCGCGGGCGGTCAGACCGCTCGGCACCGTCGCGCCAACGTCGCCCTCCGTGCCCAGGAGGCCCCACACCACCAGACTCGCCATCATCGCCCCTGCCCAAGCGCGCCACGTCACGCCACGTCACGCCCTCGTCAGGCCGTCATCAAGGTCGAAGAAGAAGAGGTGCCGAGTACCGAGGAACTGGGCGGGGACGTAGTAGAGGAGACGCCACCACTCGAAGGCGAAGCGGAGGGAGAAGGCTACCGACGTGGCTGGGTTGAAGTGCGATCCGGAGACCTGGCCCATGGCGAACACCAGCGCCATCAGCACCAGGCCCTCTGCCACGCACGCCACTACACGCCGCGTCAGAGCTCACTACTTCGATAGAAGAGAAGAAGTAGAAGATGGTGACGGTGACGGTGGTGGTACGGGCTTGAGAGGTGTGCGGGCTCGCGTTCCCGAGGCATACGACGAGCACTATGGTGAAGGTGCCAACGAGCTCCGCCAGTGCGCGCCTGAACTCGGCGAGGAAGACCTCCCATCGCCTATGGCCTGCACCACCGGGCAGGTACTGGTAGTAGGCCAGCTCCTCCGTCATCTCTCCTCTCTCTCTCTTGCTGTTCTCCCTCTTGGCCTTCTTCTTCGTAGCTCTCTAGAGAGGCATGTGCTGAAGCCCTCCGTTGACTGTTGCGGAGACCTCTGAGCCGAACGAAGTAGAGAAACCCACGAAAGTCGATTTTCTCCGGTTCAACATTGAATTCTGGCTTTTCGCTCTCTTTCTCTTGTTTCGCCTGCGGTTATTTCGATCGAAAATGTAAAATCGAACTGGGCCACACAGACCCGAAGCCCTCAATCAAACCATGACATGAAGATGAGAGCAATGACGAAGTCTCTTGGTTATATCTACAACAAATGCACGCACAAAACTGGTTCCTCCGCAACACGTGATCAGCCGGTCTTCTTCTTGTCGGTGAAGGTCTTCTTGACGGCGGCCGAGAGGGAGAGTCCCACGCCCCGTATGGAGCTCTGCCTGATCCGCTTCGAGTCCTCTCTGAGCTTGTCCCTGTGGCGCGTTCACGTCATGTCAACCCAACGACTGGTGGTGCGTGTGCGGTGGTGCGTGTGCGGTGGTGCGTGCGCGTGTGCGGAGTGAACGTACTTGTCTTTGCTGTTCCGCCGCCGCACGGCGTAGATCGGGCTTTCCTGCGCCGGCTCGCAGCTGCGCGAGCGGAGGCCGAGGTTGCGGTCACTCAGCACCACCGGAGGGCTCACCAGGTACTGCCGGATGACCGCCACCTCCTCGAGCTGGAGCGGCGTCGACTGGAGCGTGGCGATCTCCAGCAGCGCGTGGCCCATCAGCGCCATCTTCTCAAAGTTGACCCACACCGCCGCTGCGCCCGCAGCCCCGCCGCCGCCGCTGTTGCTCCTCGCGCTCACGGCCTTGCCGCCGCCGATGCCGCTCCCGCTGCCCCCCAACGCCAATGCCGACGACGACAGCGACAGCGCCGACGTCGTGGTGCCGCCCTGTGGCTCGGCCGATGACGCGGCGGCACCGATCGAGCTGCCGGACCCGCTCAACCCGCCGTCGCCCGTCGCCTCTGCTTTCTTCGAATTCTTTCGCCCTTGGCCGCCCTGGCCCGATGCCTCTTCTCCGCTGTCCTTGCGCACCTTCTCGCTGCCGCTCCCGCCGCCGCCGCCCCGCCGCTTGGCGTCACGGCTGGCGATGGCGCCGCTGCTGTGGGCCAGGCTGACGAAGCTGGCGTTTCGGTCGTCGATGGCGCTGAGGTCGTGGTGGAGCAGCTGGTGGTAGGGCACGAGCGGGGGCGAGAGCTCGGCCATGTAGACCTTGAGCCGCGCGTAGCCGTCGGCCGGGATCACCAGCTCCTCGAGCGCCCGGAGCTTGGCCGTGTACTTGGGCGGCACACCCTTCCACGCCGTCTTGAGTCGCACTACAAAATGGGTACTGCGCATACACACACACTCAGCCATATAGCGCGCGTGCCGCGTGTGTGTCGTGTGTACCGTGTGTGTCGTGTTGTGCGCGTTAAAGAAGGCAAGGAGTACCCGAGGGCGCTGATGATCTGGATCGTCCCGTTGAAGTTGTTGAGCGAAAGACAGCACTAGAGAGAGGAGTGGTGGACCGAAGGGCAATCAGACAACGCACAAAACAATAAAAATCATCATAAATATAGAGAAATAGTTTGTTGCAACAAGCGCACGTACCTCGGCGATCTCAATGAACCGCTGGATGACGATGGCGCGCTGCTTCGGGTTGGGCGTCATCACTATCTCCGTCGCCACCCAGTTTATACCCTGTACATGCCATGGACCACCAATCAACAACATTGATGTGATTAAAAAGAATACTCATACTAATACTCATAACAAACACCAGAACAAGGGCAAGACCACGCACCTGCTCGTAGTGGTTGATCCACTTCTGGGAGACGGGTGATAAGGCGGGGCTGTCCCAGGCCTTGGCGATGAACTCCTGGTGCGGGATGGCCGCGAACAGCTCCCAGTCGATCAGCGCCAGCTGACGCGCGACCTCAAGCGGGTGGAAATCGAGCAGCGAGGGCGACTGCAGCTGGCGCGGAACAAGCGGCTTGGGCGCCTCCCGCTTCAGCGCCGCCCGCTTCACTTTGTCCTGCTTCAGCTGCGCCTTGGCCTATGTGTGTGCGGTGTGCGCGTGCGTGCGCGTGCGTGTGCGTGTGCGTGTGCGTGTGCGTGTGCGTGTGCGTGTGCGTGTGCGGTAAGTCGACTCAAGAGTGAGTGGCGGCGGGGCAGCGTACGCGGGAGATGCGAAGGATGGCCTGCCAGTGCAGCGACTTGCCGCCGAGACCGGACATGAGCTTCTCGAAGGCCTCCAGGTCCTTGAGCAGCGCCGGGTCGGCGGAAAAATCGGAGTAGAACAGCTCCAGCCACTTCTTCAAAATAGTCACCACTCTAGATCGTGTGTGCGGCGTGTGGTGTCGCAGCGTGTGTGTTGTGTGTCGTGTATGTGAGGCGTGCGCTCAGCAACACGAAAATAGAGGGCGGAGCGAGGGCGAACCGTAGTCGAATGTGGAGAAGCTGGGATCGGAGGTGCTTGTGCTTCTTGCTGAGCCGCGTGGTCAAGGGAACGCGCACGTACATGTCCTGCAGTCGCGCGAGAAGGTCCCGCGGGCCGATGAAGTACCGATGCGCCGCCAGGAAGAGGTCCACGTACAACGGATCTACAATCCCCCCCCCAATGCGAAAAACACAGCATCATACGGCGCGTCAGTCCAACCCAAGCCGGCAAGTAGTGGGGCGAGAATAACGTCGCACCCATGGCGTCGTCGTCGTGAAAGAGAGCCGCCACGAGCCCGTCCACCGTGCCCGAGACCGGCGCGCGGTCGACGTACTTGACCTCCTGCACCCACCACACAACACGCGCGGTGGAATGTAAGATAGATAGAAAGATAAAAATATAAAAAAATAATTATAATAGAATAATGTACCGTCACCCGCTTCTGCAGGAAGTCGTCCAGCTGTCGCTGAAAGTCGGCGAGGAGGGCCTGCTCCTCGGGCGACAGCTCCTGCTCGTCCTTATGCGTGTTCTTCTTGTAGCCGCCGCCGCCTCTGCCGATGCCGCTCCCGGCGCCGATGATTTCACGGGCGTACCACTGGTGCTGGGGCAGCCGCAGCGACGCACCGCGCACGCCGTTGTCGTCGTTGTAGGGCTCACCGTCGTCGTCTTCCTCATCGGGCTCGGCATCGTCGTCGGAGGCCTCCGAGTTGTCGACGCTGTCGGCCGTCTCGCTCAGGCAGCTGTCGATGTTGGCCTCGGACAGGAGGTCGGTCGACGGCGTCTCCGAGTCCGAGAGGTCGGTGGTCGAGAACGACGACGTGCGCGAGCCGAGCGAGAGGGTGTGGTTGTAGGTCGAGGAGCAGGACGAGAGGAAGCCGGCGCTGCTCGAGTCGGCAAAGGACGAGGCCAGCGACGACGAGTCGGTGTAGGACGACCCGTAGATGAAAGACGGGCAGCGGGCTGACGCCGACGACGCCGACGAAGCGCCGGCCATCTGCCCGGCGGCGGCAAAGATGGTCGAGGAGTGTGAGGTGCGTCGGGTGATGGCCGCGTCGCGCACCACGGGCGACCGGCGGTGTCGCCCCATACTCAGCGACGACACGGCGACGGCAGAGTGCGCGGTAGCGATCTCCTGGACCACCTCCAGTGCGGCCTCGTCCCTGGGCCGCTCCTCCAGCACTGGGCCGGACACCAGAGTCGACACGAATCCTGCCCCGCCCACGGTGGTAACGTAACGTCAGCATTGGCGAGAAGCTTGTAAGAGAGCCGCGGGCGCGCGGTACCCGAGTTTGTTTTGTAGATCTGCTGTGCCGAGTAGTCCCACGAGGAGAGGAACCGTTCGCTCTTTGTCCGCCGCACTTGCCCATTGGTTGCGACCGACTTGTTCTCTGCAGCGAACCAATGAGTGAGCATGATTGTTGGATGTGTTTTGTGTGTAGTGTGTGTCGTGTTGTGTGAGTCGTGTTGTGTGTGTTGTGTGTTATGTGTTAGTGCTGGACCTGTTTGCTTGCGTTGCCTGACGGCGGTGGTGGTACCCCTGCGCCTCCGGCCCGCCCCTGAGCCCGCCCCGTCCTCGTCGAGCTTGAGTCCCCGCAACTCCTGCTGGGACCGGATGGCCACCAGGATGTGATGCGGCAGCGATCTCAGCTCCGGGTTGAACCCGGCCAGGAACTCGCTCGCCGGCGAACCGGCCGACGTCGGTGGTGGCTGAGCCGACGGACTACCGGGTCGCGGGGGCGATGGCGGCATAGCCCTGGGTCCCTCGAAGACCAACGATGACGAGTTGTTGTCGTCGGCCAAGACGACGGTTGGAGCGTGGGTGGTCGAGGCCGAGGTTGGACTCGTCACTTCGTGATCCACGAGGTGCTCCTCGGTTCGCAGATCAGACGTGTTCAAAATTGACCGCTCCGACGTCGCTCGGTTCATCGAGGCGGCGACCGCCAGAGACGGGTAGCTCCGTTCCCACGCCGATAGAGACTTGGGTCGCACGGTCGGCGACGACGGTGCCGGAAGAGCGAGGTACTGGGTCTGGGCTGCCGGCGGCTGGGTCACGGCGATGGCGCCGAAGATCATATCGTCCACCATGTAGTCGACGGTCGACGTACGGTCGCGCGCCTCCTTGCCCGCCCGGGCGAGGTCGAGCCACCCGAACTTGCCGCCGCCGGTGAAGCCGACGTCGTCGTCTTCGCCTCCGCCGGCGGTCAGCCAACCAGGTGGTCGCACCGGGACCAGCCTCAGCCCCGCCCACCCACCAGTAGTGTCAGCGGGCTCGAGATTGTCGCGCTTGCCCAACAGGCCGTCGAGAATGTCGTCCACCATGCCCTCCGCCGCGGCTGGCATTCCTGGCATTCCATGGTCGAGCGCCGCCCCGCCACCGACGCTCTGGTCCACATGCCGTCGAACGCCCATGCGCGCCCAGGCGCGGTCGCCGTTCTTGTCCTCCTCGCCAAAGATCGACAGGATGAGGGCGTCGATGGCGCTTGACATGCGGGCTCGCTCCTGCTCGTACCGCTGCTGTTGTTGTATCTCGCTGCGCAGCTTTTTGATGAGCTTGGCCCGCTCCTCACGCTCGTTGCCCGCTGCCGCCGCGACGTCGTTGTTGTTCAGCTTCTTCTCCGAGTTGTAGCGGGTTAACCCGCGGGCGGTAGAGTGCGGAGTCGGGCTGCCACTTTTCCTCAGCGGAGCCCTGGCCCGCGGTGGGGTGTCGCCCGGCTTGGCCTCCCTCCCGCTTCCCAGTTCCTCGGGTTGCCTGATGACGCCCGCTTTGCTGGGGCCGGTGCAGAGACGGGTCCGCTGCTTGGGCGCAATCTCGACGTTATCGCTGTCGCTCGACATGTCCACCACCTCAAGACGCCGCACGCCGCGCAGTGTGCTCATGCCATAGGCCGGGTTGACGGTCTCCCTCTTCTTGTCGTCGTTGCCGTCAGCGGCGGCGGTGCTTACAGTGAGGGTTGGTGGTTGCCGCGCTGGCAGCTCGCGCACGGCATACAGCGGGTTGTTCTTTCGCTGCAGCGTTTGCTCCTTGTCTCGATCCTTGTCCTTCTCTTTGTCTCTTTCCTTTTCTTTGCTGCCGCCCAGGAGCACGTTGGTGCGCCATGTCGTTCCCCCGCTCTTCTTCCGATTATCTTTGGGTTCATCCATGGCGATTTGGTGTGGGGCGGATGCGATTGGGGGGCCGCCGCGGGGAGGGCTCAGCGCCGCAGATTCAAAGCGCGCCTAGCGCTCCACCCTTCTTCGCCGCCTTCTCACCTTCTTCGAGGCGATCTCCTCGGGCTATGTGGTTCGATTATGTAGGACCAGTTCGTCGTTAGGCGATGTTGTTGAATGGCCGCGTTTCGCTTCAATTTTTCGCAAACCATAAAAGGGAAGCTGCGCACACGTAAAAAATAACACCATTAGCGAGAATTGATTGTCAGCTCCATGGCACGTCGCCTGTGTCTAGTGACTTCAGCGTAGAGCAGCCCTGCTCAGCGTCCGGTGGCATCTTCAGAGGAGCTGATTTAGCATTGGGCTCCTTGGCGCCAACAAATAATTATTTAATTTTTGTTTTTGTTCCGGCCAAAAGAAAAAGCGGCCACGTCGCCAGGGAGACTGCAACGAGAGAAGCTGGGGCAGTTCATTTCGACGCTGGCCAGATTCGAAAGATGCAACACCCAACTGGGCCACCACCCACGCGGATGCCCACAGATGAGGAGGCGGAAGACGAGCCAGAAGACGATCAGGGCGATGATGCAAATAATTCGGGACAAGAGGCCCTCGGTAAGGGCGATTCGGCGGTAATGAAGACTTGTCTGCACGTCGCTGGCGTGCACATCGATGTGGTGAAGAACACACTACTTGATCCATCGCTTTGGTCTTGTAGAGGTTCGAGCACCACTTCCCATTATTATCACTTTTCAGCCCCCTTTACCTGTGCAACTGGCCGCCTAATGGCCTTGGCCGCATCGATGGGTGCAATAAAGCTAATCAACGCGCATTCGAATCTCCCTAGAGTGTAATCACACCGAGAGTTGTTGGGCTTGCCTTAGCTGCGGCTACGTAGG